CCACTACAGGCTAGATAATAACATTCTGACACACCCCCATAGCCAAAGTGGGGTGTAATCAGCAGAGCACACAGTCATAGAGCAGGTTCACAATGGAAGCAGCAAGCTAGAGGCTATCACAGAGGGCAAGTGAGGAGGAGGAGAGCACTTTGGACGGATAGAAGATGGGAAGGCAACGACGGAAGCTGCAGAGGCACGGGCACAGGAACGACTGACTCAGTGGCTACCGAAGCAAGGGCGACGGACTACTGGAGTGACTGGCTCCACGGTATAGACGAGCGGCAAAGAGCAACGGACCCACTGGCGACTGGTGCAACAGGCTCACTGGCTACCGAAGCAAGGGAGACGGACTACAGGCGCTGCAGGCGACACGACAGTACCTCCACAAAACCTCCTCCAACTGACCCACACCCTTGACACACACCCCCGCTGAACCACTAACTCCACTCCCACGTAACCCCCTAGCACCACTCCTTCACCGCGCCTCGAGCGCACGGCGGAAAGAAAACCAAAAAAAAAAAAAAAAAAAAAAAAAAAAAAAAATCGCACGCCACGGGGCATGCAAACAACAGAGTAGCAGCGGAAGCAGTTAGGTGGGCCCACAGGCCAGGAGCGTAGATGCTCTGATAGCATGTGAGAATCGTAGGTAGAGTGAGGAGCCATAGCTAGGGTTAGCTAGCTAGGTAAGAGAGAAATGAAGAAAGGAGGAGGAGGTTTCACTAGCAGCAGTTGGGATACATATAGAACCCTAAACAGGGTTGTACTCGCTATAGAGCACCCCACTACAGGCTAGATAATAACATTCTGACATGCGGAGGGAGGAGTTGGGAGGCTACAGCAGAGCTAGGGTAGATGAATCATGAAACTGAAGTCTATGTGAAAAAAGTGGAAGACGAGATAATCTTATATCGTGCTTGTGCCTGTTTGCAGCTATTATGTATCTTGGCGGGTCGGGGGGTCAGGACGTAAAGGAGACGCGCACAATCACAAAATACAATATTTTGCTAATGATTGTTGCAAAAAGGTCAGCGATGTGTGTGCTATAACCCCCGTCATCCCGATGTATTCATTAGTGTTAGATTCAATCCTACCCATCCGCATCAACCCAATAGCATGCGACCATACCAATTATTAGGCCTGTATGAAATATTGTTTTTTCAAAGGACCTACACTAAACAAGTCTATCGAAAAAAGGAGTAGAGACCCCTACCATGCTTTATTGTAAGGGTCATAAGGGTGATTCACCATGTTAGCAAGCAGAAGTGGGCCTTAAGCGCGGTCCACAGCGAGATGACTCAGTGGTGCCGCGCTGCGCATGGTTCAGGTCTTCCGCGAAATCCCCACCTTGATGCCTCTTCATACGTACAACACCGCCCAATGGCTTTGGAAGATACACCGGTTTGAACAGTGTTGTATATGTATAGCAGGAGGAGGGCGAGGAGGAGGGAAAAGAGGAGGGCGAGGAGGGATTGGGCAAGGTGAGGGCGAGGAGGAGGGAAAGGAGGGAGGCGAGGAGGGATTGGGCGAGGAGGAGGGCGAGGAGGGCAAGGAGGATGGCAAGGAGGAGAACAAGGAGGAGAGAAAGGAAGAGTGCGAGACAGAGGCCTGTATGAAAGATTGTTTTTTTTTTTTTTTTTTTTTTTTTAAGAAGGACCTACACCAAACATGTCTATCGAAAAGGATAGAGGCCCCTACCCTGCCTTATTGTAAGGGTCATAAGGGTGATTCACCATGGTTTGCAAGCAGGAGCGGGCCTTAAGCGTGGTCCAGAGCAAAATGACTCGGTGGTGCCCGCGCGCGCATTGTTCAGGTCTTCTGCGAAAACCCTACCGTGACGCCTCTTCAGCGTACAACGCCGTCCAATGGCTCTGGAAGATACACCGGTTGAGCACTGTTGTATAGGTAAAGCAGGAGGAGGAGGGCGGCGGAAGAGGGAAAAGAGGAGGGCGAAGAGGGATTGGGCAAGGAGGACGACGAGGAGGACGGAAAAGGAGGAGGCGAGGAGGGAAAGGAGGGCGAGTAGCGCGATGAGGATGGCAAGGAGGAGGGCAAGGAGGAGAGAGAAGAAGAGTGTGAGGAGGAGGAGGCATGTATGAAAGATTGTTTTCTTCAAAAGAAGGACCTGCACCAAACAAGTCTATCAAAAAATGTAAAAGAATCCCCTACCCTGCCTTATTGTAAGGGGGCATAAGGGCGATTCACCATGTTACCAACGCAGAAGGCGGCCTTAAGCGCGGTCCAGAACGAGATGACTCGGTGGTGCCCGCGCGCATGGCTCAGGTCTTTTGCGAAAAAACCCACCTTGACGCCTCTTCAGGCGTACAATGCCTCCCAATGGCTCCTGGAAGATACACCGGTTGAACAGTGATGTACATGTAAAAGCAGGAGGAGCAGGGCGGGGAGGAGGGAAAAGAGGAGGGCGAGGAGGATTGGGCAAGGAGGAGGGCGAAGAGGGTGAGGAGGATGGCAAGGAGGAGGGCAAGGAGGAGAGAGAGGAAGAGTGCGAGGAGGAGGGCTGCGGGGAGGGGGAGGAGGAGGGCAGGGAGGAGAGCGACAAGGAGGGTGCGGAAGAGGGTGAGGAGAATGTAGAGGGGGGTGAGGATGAAGAAGGTGTACAAGGTGATGACGATGTTCAGGAGGTGCAGCTCGTACGAGTGGCGGGTGATGGAGATGTGAGGGTGCGAAAATTGTGGAGATGAAAGGGGGTGGTAGTGCAAGCAACATTGGCACGCGTGGTAGAGGCAGAAAAGTGAGGGCAGTGGAGACTCGCATAAGTGAGGCACAGGTGGATGCGAGTCAGACGTAGACTCAACTTCATGAGGAAAGTAGAACGAGAATGAATTGACTAAGGAATGGGAGTGATACAAATATGCAACCCTAGAAATGTGTACCCCATACGGACTACCCCACTATAGCCTACACAATATTATAATTTGACACACCCCCATAGGCAAAGTGGGGCGAGAACAAGGGGTCACAAGACCAGTCAAGCAAAGCAAAGCAAAGCTCAGGGTGGATCACAACGTCACCAGACAGTCCGAGCATAAGGTCAAGGCCACAAGGCCAGTTCACATGCCAGGAGTGCACATATAATATATATATAGACTAAACAAGCAAGAGCAGGTTTGTATATATGTAAACGTACAAGCAAGATCAAGAGGTGAGCAAGTGAGGGAAGACAGGCACAAGACCCAGCTGAGTGCAGAAGCGCTGATGATCACAAGGCGGAAGTTGCCTTGGTGAAAAACATCAGCAGTGTTGGCCTCAGAGGCCACGTACGCAAGTCGCAACTGACCACGCTGCTGCAGCTCACGAGCAAGAAAGTAGCGGAGAGCAATGTGCTTTGTTCTGTGCTCCAGACGCTGCCTCCCGACACAAGGCTAGCCATGGCCTTGTTGTCTACGTACAGCACCGGAGGAGAACGAGGCGGCTCTCCGAGGTCAGTCAGCAGGTAGGTAAGCCAGCGAAGCTCCTGTGCAGCCATGGCCCCGGCGTAGATCTCAGCCTCACAACTGGAGCCGAGAACAGAAGACGAGCGAGTAGCCCGCCACAAAACAGAGCCGGAACCAAGGCTGAAGGTGTAACCCTGTGACGACCGCTGCGTAGCCTGGTCGTCCTGCCCAAGAAGCGTCCACGTGCCCAGTGAGGACCACTGGACTCCGCCCTCCAAGCACTAGCCCCATGCCCGACGTACTGCACAAGTAGCGCAACACCCTCTTCGCTGCAGCCATGTGCTCTGGTCTGTGTCTCCCAGGAGCAACATAGCGTGCAAGAATGCTAAGAGAGTATGCAAGGTCAGGTCGTGTGCAGGTCATCAGGTACATGAGGCAGCCAACAAGCTCTGGGTACGGGCCACTCGACTCTACGGACTCATCCGAAGGCAGAGCTGAGAGCGAGTGGCGAGTAGACAGAGGAGTGCCTGAGGCGAGGAGTACGTGAAGCCGAGGCGCTGAAGGACCTGCTGCACCATGTGTGACTGGGTCAGGGTAATGGTGCGGCTGTGCTCTGTCCCGGGTGATCTGCAAGCCAAGGTAGCTGCGCAGTTCACCCAGGTCTGTGCACGTGTGTCTCTTCTGCAGCTCGGACGTCACGTGGGCGAGTCCACCAGTGTCAGCTGTGGCAAAGACCAAGTCGTCGACGTACACGAGGATGTAGAACAGCGGCAGAGAGGTGTCGGTGCGTAGAAACAGCGACGGGTCAGCAGTAGAGGGAGCAAACCCAAGAGCCGCAAGTGTAGTCCTCAGTGTATCGTGCCACTCGCGCGGTGCCTGGCAGAGACCGTAGACTGGCCGTCGGAGGCTCCACTGGGTGCCACGAGGGAAACTCCCAGTGAAGCCAGGTGGACGGCGCAACCAGATCTCCTCGTGCAGGCTACCCTACAGGAAAGAAGTGCTGAAGTCAAGGGAGTGAAGCTCGTAGTCACGCCGAGCGGCTATGTGTAGCAGCACCCAAAGAGTGGTCATCTTCGGGGTGGAAGAGAAGGTCTGAAAGTAGTCAACTCCCTGCCGCTAACTGAAGCCACGAGCCACGTACCGCGCCTTGAAGACAGGTGGAGAGCCCGGCGGCCGCTTCACCCTGAAGATCCACATCCCACTGACGATGTTCGCCCCAGGAGGGGGAACCGCGTCAACGTAGGTGCCTGTGGACTTCCACGAAGCCATCTCTGCATCCATAGCTGCCTGCCACTGAGAGGAGTAGGGACCCTCTATCGCCTCCGCGTAAGAGCGCGAAGTCGGGATGTCTAGTGCATCCGGGTCTCCCTCAGGGGTAAGCAGTACGGACACGAGATGAGGTGAAGCAGCAGCCAGACACTGGAACTCCTCCTGCCTGTCCTCAAGGACGTCCGTGCTAAGAGCACACTCACCCCCGACGGACGAAGGACAGACAGACGCAGCCTCGGCAACAAGACTAGCAGCGTAGTCTAGACAACAGCGAGCAGCAAAGTCGACGAGCTCAGCAACAAGAGCAGACGGGGCAGTGGACTCAAAGGAGGGGTCACTGACGACAGTAGCAAGGAGACGCGTGACAGTAGGACTGGCAGCACGAAGAGAGTCCGACTCAGGGTCGGCAAGCGCAGGAAGAGAGGACTCAGGAGGAGAGGGCAAAGGGGCATGCACAGGAGCAGTGGACGGACGCAGAGACATCCGGTGCGTGCCAGGGACAGGAGGAGGACGCTGACGCGAACTGCGACCACTAGTGCGAGCAGCACTAACAAGCGACGTAGGACGAGACGCAGGCTCACGACGCTCAGCAAGACCTCCAGTAGGACCAGTGTACGGAGAAGGAGAAGACAGTGGGGAGGCCGGCGGTAACTGTGACTGTGACTGGACAGGCGGTGGACACTCTAAGGGAGGAGGAAGACCAAGAACCTGCTGAAGGAATGGAACGAAGTACGGCCGAGGCCGCGCGGCGACTCCAGACACACCAGAGACAGCACCAGCACCCCCAGCGGCTGCACCAGCGTCAACACCACCTCCAGCTCCAGTACCTCCAGCAGCACCAGCAGCACCTGCAGCAGGACTGCCGCCAGGACTGACAGCAGTAGCCTCAGTGCCAACACCCTCAGCAGCTCCGACTCCAGTAGCACTCGCAGAACTAGCACCTCCGAGACCGGCGGCACCAGCACCCTCAGCAGCCGAAGAAGCACCAGCTCCAGTAGTACGCCTCCAGCGTCGGGCAAACCACTCGCGCAGCTCCTGTGGAGAGAGTGGCTCCCGCCGAGACGAAGCACCCGGAGAACCACCAGGCCCAGTACCGCCAGACGCCACACGAGCAGGTCCAGCGGCCACTGGCTCCGCACCCCCAGGCTCAGTAGCTCCAGACTCAGCACCCCCAGGCTCAGCAGCTCCAGACGCAGTACCCCCAGGCGAAGGACCCCCAGGCTCAGCACCCCCAGTCGTAGCACCCTCAGGCTCAGCACCCCCAGTCGTAGCACCCCCAGGCTCAGCACCCCCAGTCGCAGTACCTCCAGGCTCAGCACCCCCACTCTCAGCACCCCCAGGCTCATCACCCCCTCGTGGATCACCCCCAGAGTCAGCACCCCTAGGCTCAGCACCCGCAGCAGTACCAGAGTCACCAGCAACCTCGACCGGCTCGAATGCGTCTACCTGGGACACACCTGAAGGGGCAGGACCCTGAGGGGGGAGGGGGTCTACCTGTGGGGGACCTGGCACAAGGAAGTGCGGCGGCGGGGGGAGGGAAGGAGTGCGGTAGGGGAAGAGACGCTAGTAGGGGACTGACTCGTTGAACGTGACGTCCTGGGAGGACAGAACACGACGAGAGGAGGGGTGGTAGAACTGCCACCCTGGGGCGTCAGGGGGGAAGCCAAGGAAGACACAGGGAGCAGCACGAGGGGACAGCTTGTCCGCAGACAAGTCGCGGACAAACGCCCGAGATCCCCAGACACGGAACGCAGACGCATCGCCGACCTTCCCCGTCCACAGCAAGGCTAGGGAGGTCTCCGGCCTGGAGACCCTGGGGTGAAGGTTGATCTGATGCGCCGCGTACCGAACCGCAAACGGCCACAGAAAATGGGGGGCAGCCGCATGCATCATGGACGTACGAGCGACATCCATGACCATGCCAATGCGGCGCTCAGCAATCCCATTTTGCTGTGGAGGGTCCGGAAGCGTAAAGGTCTGGCGGATGCCTCGCGCACGACAGTAGGCTCGCAGAAGGCCAGAGGAGAACTCTCCACCTCGGTCAGAGTGCAGACGCAGAACAGGATAGTCCGAGCCGAAGCTCCTCCTGAGCTGGAGACGAGCTGCGCGGATCCAGTCGATCAACACCTCAGTAACATCACCCTTGCTGCGCAAGGGGAAAGACTGTGGTGTAACGCGAGTAGTCGTCAACCACCAGCAGGAAGTAGTGCTCGTGACCCTGTCCACGGACGCGGGCCGGGCCCCACACGTCCATGTGAAGCGTCTGCAGCGGGGCCTCTGTCGGGGGAAACTGAGAGGAGTGAGGGGTAGCCCGGAGCCGCCCCTCGACACAGGGGACACAGGAAGGACCAGGCCCTGGAGGAAGGGGAGGGAGGGACGGGGGGAGACCAGAGACAAGGACACGGGAAGCCATGCCTCGGAGACGAGGCAGAGAGGGGGAAACCAAGACGGTGGTGCCACAGGAGAGTCTCGTGAGACAGGAGGCGACACGAGCAGGGGGCAGACTCAGGACCAGACCTGGACGCTGCAGCAAACACCTGACCCAACGCAGCTACCTAGCCAGACGCAGGGACAGGAGGGGACCCAGTGGTCAGGGTGTAGAGACTCAACCCCGGCCAACGCGAGAACGTGGCCAGGTGCCGGCCCGTGCGGGCGTCCGAGCAGTGGGTCACCCGCTGACTCGCAGGAGTAAACTAGTGAACCCCTGCATCCTGCAGGTCAGCACCACTCACCAAGTTCGTCGAGAACGAGGGGAGGTAAAGACCAGACAAGGTGCCTTAGGGGGCAGCCGGACACGGGAGGACAGTGGAGAAGTGAGAGAGGACAGGACCCCCAGAGGGGTCTGCCAGGGAGACTGCAACCGGCCGACCAAGCGGCGTGAGTGTGGTGCGGTCTCGAAAGAAGGAGCGAGAAGCCCCTGAGTCAAGTGTGAAGGTGAGGGAGGCCGAAGCCGACGTGGTACCTAAGAGCGCAGACTCACCCGTACCTGAGGGCGCAGACGCACTGGCACCTAGAGCAGCAGCCTCACCAGCACCTGG